TTTAACAGAAAATGTCAGAAAAATGCTTTTATAGGTGCAGGAAAAGTACTGTTTGATAACATTCAACATGCATTCATGTTATAAACTCTAAGTAAGCTGAGATCAGAAGGGAATTTTGGTAACTTAATAAAGGCTATCTTCGATAAACATATACTGAAGGTGAGACTTGAGAAGCTTTACCCTTAAAATAAAGAAAAAGACAGTGATTCCTTCATCACCACTATTATTTAGCAATGCAGAGAAGATCCTAGCCCAGAGCTTATTAAACTAGGCTATGACCCACCACCCCTAGGGACATTTGGAAACCTGGGTGGCATTTTTGTATGTAATAATGATGAGACAAATGGGTTGGGTTTGGGGGAGGTAGGCTGGCATGGATACTAAACATTCTGCCCTGCATGGGGCAGTTTCATCCAACAATTAATTGTTTGCCCAATATGACAGTAATAGCATCCTGATAGAGAAATAATTGAGTCAGTGTAGTAAGATAAGAGAAGAAGAATTAGGTATGAGGATTAGAAAGAAAAAGCAAAACTATATTTGCAGACAATGTACTCATATAGAAAAATCAAATGAAATAAGTTATCAGAACTAAGAACCTCAGTTTAATAAGGTATCCTATTATGAAACCAACATACAAATATCAGTAATTTTTGTATGTATGAGCAATATGTAATTAGAAATATTATTGAGGGCTTCCCTGGTGGTGCAGTGGTTGAGAGTCCGCCTGCCGATGCAGGGGACACGGGTTCATGCCCTGGTCCAGGAGGATCCCACCTGCCATGGAGCGGCTGGGCCCATGAGCCATGGCTGCTGAGCCTGCGCATCCAAAGCCTGTGCTCCACAACGGGAGAGGCCACAACAGTGAGAGGCCCATGTACCACAAAAAAAAAAAAAAAAGAAAGAAATATTATTGGGAAATCATATTTTTAATAGCAACAAATAACAAAGTCCCAGGAAAGCACTTAATAAAACATGCACAAGGCATTTATGGAGAAAAATATAAATTGTTCTTTAAGCACATACACAAAGATTTGACAAAAAAAAAAGAAGGAACATCGTGTTTATAAATGGGAAGACTCATGCTTGAATAGGTATTATTTCTCTCACAAGTATTTTATATCTTCAAGCAATTCTAATCCAAATCTCTACTCGCAGTGTAACCATGTATGTAAATCAGCATCTTTTCTCTTCCCAGAAATTATATAAAAGCAACAAGCACAACTCTAAAAGAACAACTCCCAAGAACAAATTCCATTCTCAGTGAAACTCACACATATATGAGTCTTTGAACCACTAAATACTTGTAAGGACTGTGAAAAGCAGCTGAGACTAGGTAGCATGGACTGTGGAAGAGGGTCAGGAGAATCTCAGAAAGCTTGAGAAAAAATATGCTTTGTGGAGGCAAATTTGGCAATATTCAGAAATATTTTAAATGATTGTATTTTGTGATTAGTTGCTAGGCTCTAGATCCTTCTAAGGTTCCTAGAGAAATTCATACATGGGCATAATGAGACAGTATTAGATGTTTGTTGCAGCATTATTATGTGTAATCAAAAAATTAGAACCAGGGCTTCCCTGGTGGCGCAGTGGTTGAAAGTCTGCCTGCCAATGCAGGGGACACGGGTTCGTGCCCTGGTCTGGGAAGATCCCACATGCCGCGGAGCGGCTGGGCCTGTGAGCCATGGCCGCTGAGCCTGTGCGTCCGGAGCCTGTGCTCCACAGCGGGAGAGGCCGCAACAGTGAGAGGACCGCGTACCACAAAAAAAAAAAAAATTAGAATCAATCTAAATGTCAATTTGAGCAGATAGCTTAAATTGTGGTAGAGTCCTACAATGGAAGAGTGAAATTACGTCTCTATATATTGGCGTGGCCAGATTCCCAAAACAAAGCTGAATAAAAAAAGCAAGTAACAGAATATTTATAGTAAAATATCACATATGTAAATATTAAATTAAAAATAATACTATATTTTCTTTATGTATAGTTCTTTTTCCTAGCTTCATTTAGACATAATTGACAGGTAACATTGTGTAAGTTTAAGATGTACTACATGATGATTTGGTACACATATATATTGCAAAATGATTACCACAATAAGGGTAGTTAACACATCCATCACCCCACATATTTACTCTGTGTGTGTGTGTGTGTGTGTGTGTGTGGTGAGAGCATTTAAGATTCAGTCTTACCAACGTTCAAGTATACAATACAGTTTTGTCAAGTGTAGTCAGCATGCTGTACATTAGCTCTCCAGAATTTATTCACCTTATAACTGAAAGTTTGTACCCTTTGACCACTTTCACCCATTTCTCCCACCACTTTGCCCCTGGCAACCACCAGTGTACTCTCTGTTTCTATGAATTCAGTTTTTTAGATTCCAGATATAATGAGATTATACAGTATTTATCTGTTTCTGACTGACTTATTTTGCTTAGCATAATGCCCTCAAGTTTCATCCATGTCATCACAAATGGCAGGATTCTCTTCTTTTTTTGTGAATGAATATATATATATCACTATATATATATATATATATATATATATATCGCCTTATATATATCACTTTATTTATCCATTAATCTGCCGATAGACACTTCAGCTGTTTCCATGTCTTGACTATTGTAAATAATGCTGCAATGAACATGGGGTGCAGATACCTCTTTGATGTAGTGATTTCATTTCCTTCAGCTATATACCCAGAAGGGAAGTTGCTAGATCATATGGTCATTCTATTTTTAATTTTTTGAGGAACCTCTATGGAATTCTTATGGAACTATTTGCCATAATGACTGTACCAATTTACATTCCCCCCAACAGTGCACAAGGGTTTCCTTTTCTCCACATCCTTGCCAGCACTTGTTATTGCTTGTCTTTTTTTTTTTTTTTTGGGGTAAGAAGTGGATTTATTAATATCCTTTGTAAAGAGGTTACAAGAAAATGGGGCTTGAAGAGGGTGGTCATGTCCCAGGTCTTGGGTGAGTTCCTGGGACAGGCCACCAAGTGAGGGTCTGTGGCTTCTCACAAGAAAGAATTAAACCATAGTAAAATGAAAGCAGAGATACACATTCCATAGGCAGAATGCAGTCCATCTTGGAAGAGGAGAGCGTCCTCTTTCTTCTATTTGATAATAGCCATTCTAACAGGCATGAGGTGATATCTCACTGTAGTTTTGATTTGCAATTCCCTGATGATTAGTGATGTTGAACACCTTTTCATGTACCTGTTAGCCATCTCTATATCTTTTTTGGGAAAGTGTCTATTCAGGTCTTTTGCCCATTTTAAAATCACATTGTTTTTTGTTTTGAGTAATATCTGTTCCTAATATATTTAGAATATAACCCCTTATCAGATATATGGTTTGCAAATGTTTTTGCCCATTTCATAGGTTGCTTTTTCATTTTGTTGATTGTTTCTTTTGCTGTGTAGAAGATTTTTGGTTTGATGTAGTCCAATTTGTTTATTTTTGTTTTTGTTGCTTGTGCTTTTTGTGTCATATCCAAAATATCATTGCCAAGACTAATATCAAGGAGCTTTTCCCTTATCTTTTCTTCTAAGCGTTTTACATTTAAGTCTTTAATCCATTCAAGTTAATTTTTGTGAAAAATGTAAGATAAGGATCCAGTTTCATTCTTCTGCATGTGAATACCCAGTTTTCCTAGCACCACTTATTGAAGAGACTGTCTTTTCCCTATTGACTATTTTTGACTCCCTTGTCAAATATTAGTTGACTACGCATGCATGGGTTTACTTCTGGCTCTTTATTCTGTTCCATTGCTCTGTGTGTCTGTTTTTATGCCAGTACTATACTGTTCTGATTACTGTAGCTTTGTAATATAGTTTGAAATCAGGAAGTGTGTTTCTTCCAATTTTGTTCTTTCTTAACATTGCTTTGGCTATATGGGTCTTTTATGGTTACGTATAAATTTTAGGATTGTTTTTTCTATTTCTGTGAAAAACACCACTAGAATCTTGATAGGGATGTATCTATGGATGGCTTTGCGTAGTAGGGGCATTTTAAAAATATTAGTTCTTCCAATCCATGAACATGGGATATATATATGTTTTTTACTTGTGTCTTCTTTAATTTTTTTCATCAATGTTTTAATAGTTTTCACCGTATAGATTTTTCACCTCCTTGGTTAAATTTACTCCTAAGAATTTTATTGTTTTTGATACTATTGTAAATGGAATAGTTTTATTTCTTTTATAGATATTGTTAGTGTGTATAAATACAACTGATATTCATGTATTGATTTTGTATCCTGCAACTTTATTTATTTATTAGTTCTAACAGTTTTTTGATAGAGTCTTTAGAGTTTTCTCTACATAAGATCATGTCATCTGCAAATGGAGATGATTTTACTTCTTCCTTTCTGATTTGCATGCCTTTTTCTTTTTTTTTTTTTGCTTGATTTCTCTGGCTAGGGCTTCCAGTATTATGTAAATAGGAGTGGTGAGAGAGTGCACCATTTTCTTTTTCCTGATCTTAGAGGAAAAGCTTTTAGCCTTTCACTGTTGAGTGTGATATTAGCTGTGGGCTTGTCTGTATAGTTCATGTTTGTTTTTATTAGAGAGGGAGTATAGTGTAATACAAAAGACCATAAGGGTCAGATTGCCATTTGCAAATTCTGAGTTTCACCACATACTAACTATGACCTTTCTGCAAGTTATTTTGATATTTCTTTGTATTTCAAAATATGGATTTTTCCAATAGAGGACATTCCAAGGTGTGATTATTTCATAATCACCTAATGTCTTCAAATACTTTCTAGCATCTTACATGTAACTAAAATGTCTTCTGGCTGAATTGTTAACAAGAGACAGTGCAGGGCAGATAATAAACTCTGAGGCACATCTGGAGATGTATCCTGATATCATTTCATCCTGTCATAACCCTTGAATTTAAAGAGGACAGGAACTGAAAGGGAGTAAATTAAATACTGGTAGGTACATGAGTTTGTCTGTGTGTTTCTAAAGTGCTCTGCTTCATCTTCCAGGTCGAGGTCTCCCGGCAGGACAAGCTGAGGTAGAGATGATAGAACGTGCCCGGGAGAAGCGTGCTTGGGAAGCCACTCTCCCCCCTCTGAGTGACACCTCCCAGTTTGAGAAGAGGAGGAGGAGGATGAATGCCATGGAGAGGAAGGAGTGGGCCTTCAGAGAGCAGGAGATCGAAAAGTAGGTTCTTAATCACCCAGATAATTGCTTCTGCACGGATGGGATTAATGTTAATACTTTTAACCTATAGAGAGTTTACCCAAATGTATGGGTTTAAAAGCAATCCTTAATCTGTAGAGTTAGGAAATTGGGCTTCAGGAGCAATAGCTCTATAATTTTCTCCCCAATAATATAAAAATGTATAATGCCTTCTTTTTGTGTGTAGTTCAGTGTGGAACCCAAATTTAAACAATTCCTCAAGGCATCTCTGATTCTTCTCTTCCCTTTTCTCTTTAGGGTCTTACCTAGAATCCCACTGATTTCTGCAAAATGTCTTTCAAACTGTCCTTTTCTGTTCATTCCCAGTGCCACGGTCCCTAGACTTTGGCCCTCTTCCTATCCATCAAACAGCCTCTTGGCTGACCCCATCTCTTTCCCCCGGTACTGGATTCACCGTCAGTACACCTTGGGTTCTAGCTATAGCCAATGAGGCATTTTTCTGTTTAAAAGACAAACAGTGGAACTTTTCAATTAAGAGATGAGCTCATAGTACATAAGTAATAATATGCTAAGGTATTTCTCGTTGAATTTTCAGTCATTTTAACTGATGTATTTTCAGTAATGTGGTTGTCTCTGGAATATGTAGAAATGATGAGGACCAAAAAATTACAGCTCCCTAGCAAGAAGGAAAGGAAAGGAAGTTTGAGGGTGCCATCTGTTCCAGGCTGTGCTGAGGTACTTCATTGCTCACAGAAGTACTACCAAGCCCCTGACAGTGTGCTTACACGCAAGCAAGCTAGGGGCCAATAGAGTTAGGGATTCAGTGTGGTTCTGAATTCAAAATATGTTTATCTTTTTGCAACACCTTCTGATTAACCCTGAATGCAGACTGTGATGTTTGGTTAAAAGCTTGCAATTTAATAGAAAATAGTGTTTGGGGCAGAGTAGGTGTCACATACTCAATCCGGTCTGCAGAAATTTAAATTTATTGCTGCAATTTGAAGAGGAATATTCTTGTCAGAAGGACATTAAGAACATTAAAAATGTATCTGGCCAGAATGAAGATATCACCTGAGAACATGAGTACTTTGGTTAAACTGAGGTTAATTTTAATAAATATATTTTGAGTCCCTCCTCAGGACTGGAAACAGGAAACTGCTTTACCCTGACAGAGCTCCTTATGGACCATTGGAACAGGGGGTGAGGGGTGGAAGGGGGGCAGGTGGGTGGGGATGGAGTGAAAGACCTTAAAACCAATAACTCACAGGCAGGATCTTCAGGTGATGTGCTGCTCTATACAAAAAGAGCTAGGGGAGCCCAGGCAGGAGAACAGTTAGTTCTGTTTGAGAACTAACAGATATTTAGTAGGTATTTGGGAAAATTACTGAGATGAGGTAGCCTCTGAGCTGTATGCAGAAGGATGAGTAAAAAGTTATCAGGTAGATGATAATATTGATGATGGTGGTGATGGAGATGATAATGATGATATTCATAAAGCATTCAACACCTACAGAGTGCTTATTTCATGCTTGAGCTAAGTTCTAAGCCAGTAGTGCTCAGAGTGTGGTCCACAGATGAGTAGCATCAGCACTTACCTGGGAACTTGTTAGAAATGCAAATTCTCAGGTTCCATCTCAGACCTACTGAATCAGGGGGCGGGGCACAGCAATTTGTGTCATAGCAAGTCCTCCAGGTTATCTGATGTATGCTCAAGTTTGAGAACTGTTCTAGCATGCTGTGTACATTCACTCATTTAATGTTCACAACAACCTTAGGGGATGGATACTATTATTATGTCCATTTTATGATTGAAGAGGCTGAGGTAAGTGATGAAGTTGAGAATTGAACCTAGGATTTCCAACTCTAGAAAGAAAGGGGACTGTTGGTGTGTGCTTATTTTTAAAAACGCCTACCTCCCTGTATTTACTTGTCACTGTTTCCCTACTCTCCCATGCATATTCACTTTGAGAACCTCCACCAGTATAACATGTTTGCTCTGTCTCTAGTCATTTTTTTTTTTTTTTGCGGTACGCGGGCCTCTCACTGTTGTGGCCTCTCCCGTCGCGGAGCACGCGCTCCGGACGCGCAGGCTCAGCGGCCGTGGTCCACAGGCCCAGCCGCTCCGCGGCATGTGGGATCCTCCCAGACTGGGGCACGAACCCGTGTCCCCTGCATTGGCAGGCGGACTCTCAACCACTGCGCCACCAGGGAAGCCCTGTCTCTAGTCCTTTTGAGTAGAATATTCAGCTCTCTCTGCTGAGGCCGCACTTCTCCCTTGTCAATGTGGCAAATCTCAACCCTTGTTTATCCTCAAGCGCTGAGTTAATGGCTCCTGAAGGAAGGCTTCCCCACCATCCCCCTCCTTCCCTTTGATCAACTGGGAATGGTGCTAGAAGAGGCACTCTGCCATTTCTTCTCCCACAGGAGTCTTTTCATTCTTTTGGCCTGGTATGTATCTCCCTGTGTTGTAAATGTTGGTTTATATGTCTATTCCACTAGAACAGTGCTTCTTGAGACAACGTATTTTATCTTGTTCACCATTGTTTATTCCCTGCCTGGCATAAATATTTGACAAATGAATGACTGAATAAATTACTGTGTAAATTTTTAAGTAAGAGCAAAATATTCAAATCTCCATTTTAGAAAGGAAAATGTTGACCACTATGTGGAACAAAGATTGGAAGGGGGAAAGACTAGACTAACAACCAGAGTCCAAGTCAGGAGAGAGGTGACAAAGACATGGGCTAGGGAACAGATATAAGAAGTGTTTTAGAGAAGGAATCATTAGAGGAGGGAAGAAGGTAAGAGAAGGGGTAGATTTCTGGGGGAATAGAATGAGTGAGGTTTTTTTGAGGTTGTCAGGGGATATAGCTGGAGATTCAAGTAGATAGAAGTTCTGGTTCAGAAATACCTGGTCTGAAGTACAAATTTTGAAGTCATATGTACACATAAGCAAGGTAGTCCTGGGAGAACAAGGTGAAGGTGAAGGGAAGGGAAGCGAAGAATAATTATCTATATGTGTCAGCTGCTGGCATTTTCACATTCACCCCTTAAGGCTGCATGCCACAACCTCATTTTCTCTCACTCCTCCTATTACTTAACCCTCCAGCAATACCAGTCGACCTGGAACTATGCACAAACATTCGCTGTTCACTTAGGCCCATCTGCCTGGAGAACCCTTTTTTACCCCATCTACCTAGCAAACTCTTTTTTGTCCTTCAGAACTACACCCATACATATTCCTCTTATACAGAGACTCACTATTGAGTTGCCACCCCAAACCCCCAATTCATTTGTCACACTTTTGCCAGAGTGGTCTTTTTAAGGTACATGAATATGATACCAGCCCAAAGAGAAGCTTCTGTTTATGGCAAGTGTTCCCTTTCTCTGTAGTAGAGCACCCTATTTGAGAGATTGTAGACTTCTTTATGTTTTGTGATTTCCTTGAAGACTGCAGGAGATTCGCCTGGAAGTTCTAAAAGAGCTGCTGAAGAAGCGTGATGAGAATCAAAATGAAGTAAACATGGCGTGCTTGAATGCCCAGTGGTCTAAACTGCAGGAGGTGAAGGAGGCAAAGTTGGCACAGATTCACCGCACACATGCATCAGGTGATGGTGCAGTACGAACCGTGAGGAGAATGGAAAAGTTGGCTCTGCTTTGGGTCTTTGACCAAACCTGATTTAACTGTGATATAATTCTTTTTTGGTCCTAGTGTTAGTTAATAGATAAGGAACAGGAGATGAGTTATTTCTCAAAAGTAGAAGGGTGGAGGAAAATTCCTCACTAAGAAAATCAAGTAATTATGTTCTAACAGGTAGTCAAGTTATTGACATTATGGGGCGTGTGTGTGTTTGTGTGTGTAGGTGTTAGGCTCCCCATATTCATGGGCTGAGGCCCTGGATAGAGAGCCCTGTTTCTCAACCTTTTTTTCATTGTTTCCACTAAAAAAGACATTCAGACATCTTTTTTCCAATTCATCCCCCTGCCATGAAATTTTAATACCACAGGTATACTGTATATCTGTTTATGTACTATAAATATATCTGTACTTTATACATAAAAAGAGGAGTCAGTGGAGGATTAAGAATAACTAAATAAAAAATTTAAATTTAAATTAAGAAAATTTAACTTATTAGCATTTAGCTTTATTTGCTATACTTGCTGAGTGACTTTTAATATAATTAATTTACTTATAAAAATTGTAACGCATCGCTTATATATGCAAATTAGCAGTTTATGCACATAATAGCAATGTAATCACATTAAAAATTATTCAAAATATTTTTCCTAGCAAAACAATTACAAAAAATTAAGTTAATCCCTTAAAAGTTATTTTTAGTGAACTTTTAAACTTTTTCTTGATGTGAGAAAATAACTTTTAACTAGCTGCACCTATGCATTTAGATACTGTCAACATTTTTTCTTTTCAGTAGTTGACATAACTAGTGATGGGTTGACTTACTTTCTTTTTTTTACTCCTCCTGTCCCTCTCTCTTGCCCCCTGGGATCACCTTCCCAAACAAACTACCTGTACGCATGCCTTTGTCTCAGGTTCTGCCTGTGGGGGAACCCAGGCTAAGGCACAACTCAAATGTCACTTCCTCAGGGGAGACGTTCAAGGACCCCCACCCCCAGATAAGTCAGGTCCCTGTTATCTGTTCTCACTGTTATATGCCCCTGAATTTTTGTGTGTGTGTGAGAAAATGACTTTTTACTTAACTAGGTGCTAGGTATGCATTTAGATATGGTCAACAGTTTTTTCTTTTCAATACTAGATATAACCAATGATGGGTTGACTAATTTTTATAAATGACTATTAAAATGTAAACTATTTTTATGTAATTATGAAATCCCAAGTCACACACAGAAGCACTGAGGATCAAATATAAATAACATCCAAAAGGCAACAGTGGCAAGTGCAACCACCTCTTTCAATTGTGACTTCAAAATCTCATATTGTTTTACACCCATTGAGAGTGCATGATGTAGAGCCTTCAAAAGGGGATGGGTCTGTGATGGGATTGAAAGAAAAGGAACAGGTGGAAGTAGTAAGCCTGACTCCTTAGATGAGTAAACTACAGTGTACAGCTGAGACTGCCAAACAATTCTGAAATCTATAAGCTTGGATATATTCTGATTTATTCTGGTGTTAGCCAAGATGGACAGAAATTTTTGAAGAACCTGTAGTCTTCCTTCCCTTTTAATTATTCTCTTAGGAGAGAATAATTCCCTCAGTCTCTATTGAACATGTAGTTTTCAGTTACTTTGAGTTTCTTTCGTTCATTTGACAAACTTTCATTGAATACCTCTTTCTGGCCCAGAGCTTAGAATGCAGTTATAAAAGATTTTTGATGAGTACCAATTGAGAACACTAGCTGATTCAGCTTCTGTCATGGCCACCTGTCTCATGACAATCTGGATCACACAGATGTCAGATCTATGTTTTAAGTGTTCTGGCTGCAGTGAGTGATCATAATGAAATTCATTCAGTTCAGTAGCCTTCCTGTGAATAAAACTATGGTTTACTAGTCTGCATTTGGACCATTCAGAACAATATTTTGGAGATAGTCATGGAGGTATGTTTTATTTTAGCAATCAGAAAACTTTTGGGAAAGGGAAAGAATATAGAAGGGAAGTTGGAGAGAAGAAATATCATCAAGGATTATTCTGATTATGCATCACAGGTCTATGGACCTCTATCTCGCCTTGGTCGTTTCACAGACAACAACTCAGAGGACTTTGTAGTAAAAAACCACTATCTCAACACCTATGAAGGTAAGCAATTCACATAATTACAAGTCTAGTATAAGAGGATTATCTTAGAAATATAAATATATAAAATATAGCAGTTTAGATTAAAAGCTAATCAAAAATTAAAATATTTGCAAGAAATAGCAATTACATGTTTAGTATTATTAATAATATGAGTTCATAGAAACCAATAAAAACTTCTAAGACCCAAATAAATAAATGGATACACTATGCAACAATTTATTAAGGAGTAAAGTCAGTAAACTACTAAATATTTAAACATGTTTAATGTCAGTAAAATCAAAGTTTTGCAAAAATGAAATAGAAAAAGATTTTATACCAGGTTTGTGAAGCAAACAAGAAATATGTAATGAAATCAGCTCTTTATGAAGAAATGCCAGAAAACTAGTGGGCAAGGGAATGGATAAGTAGGGGATAAATTAGTGGAGAGGGTTATACCTGTTATAAAGTCCAAGAGAGGCTTTTTAAAACTATTTAAATTTCATTTGAGAGGTTGGAGTATCACATGGCCAAGATCATGAGTTGATGGTCACACAAGTGAACTTGCACCTCTGCTGACCATCTCCAGAGCTGAATATGATAACCTGGTGTACATCCACTTTAGAATGGTGGTGCCATGTTTCATATGATCAATAATCTTCTGTCTATTATTGTGGAATGTTACATTTTTGTAGGGCAATGTTTTCATTTTAGAATGCATTTCTTATTTTATAATCTAAGTCACCAAGAATATAAGTTAGTTTTATAGAAATTTCCTTTATATTTCAGGGACAATTCAATTATATGAGATACACCTTATCAATAATTCTAAATGAAACCACTTGGCAAACAGCTACTAAAATTAACAGCATGCTTTCAAATGATGTATTTAAGCACCAGATTCTAAACATGTACTTCCTTCCTACAGGATTAGTCGAACTTGAGTCATGTCTCCCAGATTTTGTGACACAACCCCGAATCAGACCTCCAGAACCAAAAGTCACTACCACCAAAGATGGTTTTCTAAAGAGGGCTGCAAGGATGGACCATGAGTTGGCAGAGGTTCATAAGGTATAATTCTTATCTGGAAGACAAGATGCTTCTAGTGTGACTTTTACAGAGATATACTACACTCCAAAAATTGTACTTTGTCTTGGGCAGCAATGTCCAGTAGTTCTCAACACTCAAGCCTACATTCTTTCTCCTCTCTAGACTTTTCTACCAGTTACCTGTGCTGTGCCGATCAGTGCTTTTCCCCCTCATTTCAAACTGTAGGAAAACCTCTTAGAGGTTATTCTCCCCATTTGCAGAAGTCACGCTACTTTCTAAAAGTTGTTCTGACTTTGGATCTACACAATAAAATGTGACACAACACTGAGGTGTAACAAGTTTCTAGGGTTCAGGATTACTGTTGATTTTAATAGTGTAATAGGCCTCATTTTCTCCCTTTTAGATTTGTTACCAGGGCCTCATGAAGAAAGGGAGTCATGTTCAGCATCCCACTCATCTAGTTTAAACTCAACTAAATGAGAAAGTTTGACGGTCATCTCCCATGAGCCAGCTGTATAGCTTCATCTGTCAGCTTCGCTTTCTCTTTTGTTAATTGGACTATAGGTGTTCACACTTGGATACATTTGAATCCTTAGTATATGACAGTGGTGCTCTATCTTTAGCCTGCATCAGAATCACCTGGAGGGCTTGTTAAAACACATGTTGCTGGGCCTCACCCCCAAAGTTTCTGATTCAGTAGGGGTGGGGCTGGATTACTTGCATTTTTTGCAAGTTTCTAGGGGATGCTGATGCTGCAGGAACCACACTTTGAGACTCACTGATTTAAGACATACCCTCATCACTGGTCCATGTATGTTTGTTTGTTCAGTTAGTAATAGCATAAAGATCCATGGGAGCCCACACTCAAGATAAAAATTAGGACCTTGATAATCATTTACTTATATCTGTGTGGTTCTTTCCCACATTATCCCCATCTCCATTTACCGATTCTGAATTCTATGTTTATCATTTTCTCACTTTCTGTAAGATTTTTGGTAGATATTCTTTATTAGAGTATGGAAGTTCCCTTTTATTCCTAATTCACTGAAGCTTTTTAATCATGTGTTTATGTTGATTTTTATCAAATGTTTTGTCTGTATCTATTGAGATATTTATATATTTTTTCTTTAAAAAATTATTATTGTAATAGGAATATTTATAGTTTTTTACAGATATTAATCTGTCCTCACATACTTATTAGGAACATAACTTGGTCAGGATGTATTATTTTTATACGTTATTGGATTTGATTTACTGATATTTTGTTCAGAATTTTTATTCTGTATTCATGAGTGAAATGGCCTTATTTTTCTTTCTCAGTTTGACTATATGTGGCATCGGTGTCAGAGTTATACAGGTCTTCTGAAGTGAATTGGGGAGTATTCCTTCTTTCCTACTTTGAAAAGAGTTTAAATAAGTTTGAGATGATCTTTTTCTTCAGTTTGGTAGAATATTCATATAAAATTATCTGAGACGGATGTTTTCTTCATGGGAAAAATTGTAAGCACTCCTTCAATTTCCTTACAACTTACAGAACTTTCTGCAGCATTTTGGTAAATTATATTTTCTTTACAAATTCCGTTTCACCTAACTTTTCAGATTTTTTTCCATATGGTTGTTGATAGTATTATCGATACTTTAAAATCTTTTTAGTGTTTATCTATAATCATGCCCACTCTTTTCATTCATAATATTATTTATTTGTGCTTTAACTCTTTTTCCTTAATCAATTTTACTGGAGGCTTGTTTATTTTCTTGGTATTTTTTTCAAACATTTGAACTTTTGATTTTGTTGATTTTCTCTATGTAAATTTTTTTCAGTTACATTAATTCCCACTCATATTTATTTTATCTTTCTTTCTACTTTCTTTGGGTTAGTTTTGTGCTTCTTTTCCTAACTTAAAATAGATATGTAGCTCATTAATTTTCAGGCACTCATCAGTTTTATATAATATTTAAAGCTAACCATTTCCTTCAAAATACTGATTTTGGTACATCCCATTAGTTTTGACATATAGTTTGGCATTATCATTAATATCTAATTTTTTAAAACATCCATTGTGATTTTTGGACCTGTAGTATTTAACAGTGTGTTTAAAATTTCCAAATATGCAGGAATGGTAACTAATTTTCTAATGAATTTCTCAATTGCTCTATCGTCAGAGATCTTAGCCTGTATGATACCTATTCTTTGAAATTTAGTGAGGCTTGCTTTGTGAACTAGTATAGTATATGTGATTTTACATATAAAATAATCTAAATCCACCTTCAAATAATACTATAACTACACGTGTCATGCAGATACCTTATAGTAGATTATTCCCAATTCCTCCCTACTGTCCCTGTGACATTGCTCATTCATTTCATTGATCCATATGCTATAATCACCCAATACATTTTTACTATCATATCATTTACTATCAATACATTTTTACTATCACTATGATTTAACAGTTATCCTTTAGATCAATTAAAAATAAGAAAAAATATTTCATTTTACCTTTATTTATTCCATCTTTTCCACTCTTCCTTTCTTATATAGATCCAAGTTTCTGATGTATGTCATTTTTCTCCTGCCTGAAGAACTTGTTTTACCATTTATTACAGGGCAGTTCTGCTGGAAATGAACTCCTTCAGTTTTTATTTGTCTCAGAAAGTCTGTATGAATCATTTACTTTTTTTGAGATATAATTCATATACCATAAAGTTAACCCTTGTATACAATTCAGTTATTTGTAGCATACTTATAAGATTGTTCTACCATCAACACTGTCTAATTCCAGAACATTCTCATCATCCTCAAAAGAAACCCCATACCCATTAGCAGTCACACCCAATTACCCTCTTCCCCGTACCACCTGGCAACCACTAATTTACTTTCTTTTTATGGATTTGCCTATTCTGTACATTTCATATAAATAGAACAATACAACATATGGCCTTTTGTGTTTGGCTTCTTTCCTGTAGCATAATGTCTTCAAAGTTCATCCATGTTGGAGCATGTCTCAGTATTTACTTACTTTTTATGCTTGCATAATATTCCATTGTGTGGATATACCACATTTTGTTAATCTACGTATCAGTTGATGGAAATTTGAGTTGTTTCTACTTTTTGTCTGTTTTTGTATAAATAATGCTGATATGCACATTCATGTACATGTTTTTTAGTTTTCTTGGGTCTATACCTAGGAGTAATTTCTGCGTCACATGGTAACTCTATATTATACTTTTTGAGGAACTGCCAGACTGTTAAAAGTGGCTGCACTATTTTACATTCCCACCAGCAATGTATGAGTGTTCCAATTTTTGCACATCTTTTCCATCTCTTGTTATTTTCCATCTTTCTTATTGTAGCCATCCTAGAGTGTGTGAGGGGATATATCACTGTGGATTTGATTTGTATTTGTCTAATAATTAATGAATTTTGTCACCTTTTCATGTTATTTGTATATCTTTTTTGGAGAAATGTCTATTCAGATACTCTGCTTATTTTTTAATTGGGTTTCTTTTTATTGTTTATCATAAACACTATTTTTAATGTTTGTATTGGTTTTTAAAAAATTTTAATTGTATATATTTTTTTATACAGCAGGTTCTTATTAGTCATCAATTTTATATACATCAGTGTACATGTCAAACCCAATCTCCCAATTCATCCCACCACCACCCCAACCCCCCGGCCACTTTCCCCTCTTGGTGTCCATACATTTGTTCTCTACATCTGTGTCTCAATTTCTGTCCTGCAAACCAGTTCATCTGTACCATTTTTCTAGATTCCACATATATGTGTTAATATGCGATGTTTTTCTCTTTCTGACTTACTTCATTATGACAGTCTCTAGATTCATCCACGTCTCTACAAATGACCCAATTTCGTTCCTTTTTATGGCTGAGTAATATTCCATTGTATATATGTACCACATCTTCTTTATCCATTCATCTGTTGATGGGTATTTAGGTTGCCTCCATGACCTGGCTATTGTAAAGAGTGCTGCAATGAACATTGGGGTGCATGTGTCTTTTTGAATTATGGTTTTCTCTGGGTGTATGCACAGTAGTGGGATGGCTGGGTCATATGGTAATTCTATTTTTAGTTTTTTAAGGAGCGTCCATACTGTTCTCCATAGTGGCTGTATCAATTTACATTCCCACCAACAGTGCAAGAGGGATCCCTTTTCTCCACACCCTCTCCAGCATTTGTTGTTTGTAGATTTTCTGATGATGCCCATTCTAACTGGTGTGAGGTGATACTTCATTGTAGTTTTGATTTGCATTTCTCTAATAATTAGTGATGTTGAGCAGCTTTTAATGTTCTTGGCCATCTGTATGTCTTCTTTGGAGAAATGTCTATTTAGGTCTTCTGCCCATTTTTGGATTGGGTTGTTTGTTTCTTTAATATTGAGCTGCATGAGCTGTTTATATATTTTGGAGATTAATCCTTTGTTGATTCATTTGCAAATATTTTCTCCCATTCTGAGGGTTTTCTTTTCATCTTGTTTATGGTTACCTTTGCTGTGCAAAAGTTTTGAAGTTTCATTAGGTCCCATTTCTTTATTTTTGTTTTTATTTCCATTACTCTAGGAGATGGATCAAAAAAGATCTTGCTGTGATTTATGTCAAAGAGTGTTCTTCCTATGTTTTCCTCTAAGAGTTTTATAGTGTCCGGTCTTACATGTAGGTCTCTAATCCATTATGAGTTTATTTTTGAGTATGGTGTTAGGGACTGTTCTAATTTCATTCTTTTACATGTAGCCGTCCAGTTTTCCCAGCACCACTTATTGAAGACACTGTCTTTTCTCCATTGTATATCCTTGCCTCCTTTGTCATAGATTAGTTGACCATAGGTGCGTGGGTTTATCTCTGGGCTTTCTATCTTGTTCCATTGATCTATATTTCTGTTTTTGTGCCAGTACCATACTGTCTTGATTACTGTAGCTTTGTAGTATAGTCTGAAGTCAGGGAGTGTGATTCGTCCAGCTCTGCTTTTTTCCCTCAAGACTGCTTTGGCTATTCGGGGTCTT